TCATACTCAGAAACAGCTGCAAGCATTCCCATGTTAAAGCAATGTGCATTATGAGTCAAGAATGTGTGTATTTCTAACGCCCTATACAATCAAATCTTTAGAAAATCAATTTTCTTAACACTTTAGGGTAGTGGTACAGAACACTCAACTCAGGGCCTCATGCATGTTAGACAAGCACAGTACCTGAGTTACATCTTTGGCCTCTACTTATTTTTTGGGTTACTAAACACTTGTCCCTTATGTAGACAATTTACTACTTGATTTGATATTTTAAATCTGTCTAGACTGCCTTTATGTATCACACTTCTATGCCCTTTAACTGTGTACATCAATTGGACAAGGATTTTGTGTAACCTGCAACTTAGTACCAGCTGTAAAATTATTGTAAGAAATACCTGCCAAACACTTAGAAGGGAGATATACTCTTCTAGGATATCTCACGTTGACAATGACTTTGGATGGACTGAATACTGTGAATTATTTTAGGTTATAAATATATCCAATAGGCTATAAAGTTAACTACACAAAAAAGTATAGAAGCAAGCAGCTGATATATCCAGTGTGGTTTTTCTCTTTACCCAGACTCACCTATTTTCCAGTTTCATTAGCCCTCAAAATCATACCATTTCTATTATTTGTAATGGGCTAAGAACAGAGTGTTCATTCACCTTATTCTAACAATAAGGCAATTAGGTTTAAAAGAAAGCTGAATTCTAACTGTAAATGTACTTTTGCAACATAACATTTTAAAGTCTGCTTAAATTCAGATTGTATTACACAATTATTTTTATATCAATAAAATCTTAATATAGATGAAGGAACAATTTAATTTGTATTGAAGTATTAGACATACAAAGCTCATACAATGAAAAAGGGTCACAATAAATTACAAGTGGAGACATTACTTGGCTCAATTACCAAAGAAAGCCCTTGATACTTCCAATTTCACACCATCAAATTTATCATTCTTGCTGATTTAAGCAGAACAGAAAACAAATATGGATCCCAGGGCTTACTTTCACAGGTACCAGCATGGATAATTTACTACAGTGATCCAATTTGGAAATCAGTAGGGACCAGTAAATTGCTGCATAAAAGAAAGAGCGAATGAGGTCCTTTTTCCTTGGTGTCAGCAGGCTATGATTATTATGTTTATTAGATTTTCTTGAAAGGACTTCACATTTTCTCAAATATGCAGGAGAACTATATTTCCCCTTTGAGCCTCACATTAGCATTATGTGATTTGGTCCTGACTTCAGGAGAGTGATGAATTTTTCAATTTATCTTATAAATTTATACAGTTTAGATAGTATTGGCCTAAAGAATGTAACTCCCCATTTGTACAATATTAGATATTAAAAATGGATTAAAGAAGTTACTAAGAAATGCTGACATACTGTATACACAAATTTTTGTTCACTATATCCATTAATATAGAGCACCACAATATATTTATGTATCAAGTCGTTTTTTAATGACTATAATTTTTGTGACCCTTTCACATTTGGTCCAATACATACACATTGTAAATGTTACTTGCCTAAGACTTTGCTCATTTGATCTCAACTTATAAATACATGTATAGGCAAAAGTTAGTATCGACAGGAATTGTTTTACCTTAAAAATTATAAAGAAAAATAGAACTTTGAAGTTAACCTGTCATAAACCAAGAAAAAAAGTCTGAAAGTAATAACTAGATCAAAAAAATAATTTTAGGTTACAAAAGAGGAAATGAAATGATTCTTGGCTTCTTTTTTCTAAAATAAGCTAATTATTAAAATCCAGCAAAGATAACCATCTATATTTTTTTCCTATCATTTTCTAAGAAAAATAAACTGCTTTAGATTAAAAAAATACTCATTTCGGTGAGTTCAACTCAGAACTATATGTATGTCAGTTTTCCCACATATACCCACAATGCTGTACAGAAATCCTCACAAAGGATACTTTTCTTCTATATAACCCACCTGAGTACTATCTCAGAATACAAGCATTTCCTAAATTACCATCAGGAAACCTTCCAAACTTTTAGCAGCTCCTTTCTTATCCTTAACATCAGATCCAGTAATAATTCTACTCAAAATGTAAGACTATGCAATAAAATCATTTTGAGAAGTAACACCAGGAATTTTTTTTTTTTTTTGAGACAGGGTCCTGGTAGGCAGTTTGGGCTGGCCTTGAACTCACTTCATAGCTCAGGCTGGTCTTGAACCCGAAACGAGCCTGCCACCTCAGCCTCCTGAGTGCTGGGATTACAGGTGTGTGCCAGCATGATGGGCTAACTCTTGGATTTTTAAAAGTATGCCTTTGGTATGCTATCTGTTGAGGTACACTATCATGTAGCCTCTGTAGAATTCTCCTAATTCTAGAAAATTCTAACAAAGTATTAAGGAAATATAGCTGTCTCTACAATTCATATGTGATTTTCAAATCTTGGTACTATTGCTAATATCCAAAACCTTCAATATACAGTACTTTTGTATTACTAGGAAGTCTAAATTTTGATTAAACTGACTACATCTAGTATACACAATGATGAAAACTTTTTAAGTATTTTTCTACATACCTGAAAACAAAGAATAATTTCACAACAGATATGTTTAGCTGACTTAGGCACTTTGAAAGAAAAAATCATAATTTATACATCACACCTAGTTGTAGTTCACTTTACTTTTCATCATATTGACAGGATTAACTTTAAAACATTTCAATATTTTAAAAAACTACTCATGGGTTTAGAGTATAGCTCAGTGTTAAAGCATGAAACCTTGGACTGAATCCCCGGCACACAGAAAAAAATACTCATAAATATTTACTAAATTGTTGGTTCAATACTGAACTAAGGTACACTGGAATTCAGATCCTTAGTCTTACAGCTGACTGTACTTCAGTGGCATTTGAAAATGGGGGGAGGAGGCTACTTGACACAAGACCATCACCCAGTGTTCATAAACATAACTGGTTGCTTTCTCTGCTGAGGTTTTAATTTCTGACTGTCAAAACTAGGTGACAGTTCTGAGACTAGTAGATCCTTAGATTTGGCACAGGAGAGGCTGGGCAACACTTTACCACAATTCTTCAAGTTAATTTCATATATTCTCACTGTAAGAAAGAACCCTAAACCTCTCAGTTATACTTGTCTTATTACATAGATTCACTTTCCTTTTCTGGATACATAGAATTCAGTTTCTAAATGTACAAACCTTAGTTAGAATTTTTTACCCTGATACTGATAGCTCTGTAATTTTTACTGTTATAACAGAACCCATTAACTTTTTATAACTTTTGGCTTAAGGCTTAATATTGGCTTGCTCTGATGTTCTATGTAAAGGACAGACGATAGTCTCTTTTTTGGGGGAGAGGGGTTATTGGGAATTTGAACCCAGGGTCTTTGCACTGACCCACACCTCCTGTTTCTTTTATTAATTTTTTCATTATGATTTTAAGACATGGTCTTGCTATGCTGCTCAAGCTGGGCTCAAATTCCTAATCTTTCTCCCTTAGCCTCCCATTACAAGTGCACACTACCAGGCTTGGCTTAAAAGGGAGTCTCAAATATCCAAATACAATCTCTTTTAAAAGAGATTTCTTGTTTTACAGAAGCAAATGCCTTGGAAAATTTTATACCAAGAAACTTCAATATAAATTGTACTTAAGAAATTTATCAGGGGCTGGGAGTTTAGCTCAGCAGCTTAAGTGCCTGCCTGGTAAGTGCAAAGTTGTGAGTTCAATTCCCAGTACAAAAGAAAAGAAAAGAAAAGAAAAGAAAAGAAAAGAAAAGAAAAGAAAAGAAAAAGAAATGTCTTTAGACTAATGTTAAATATGGTTTGAATTAATAAAAAATCAAGTATACAAAAGGAATAAACAATGCTTGCCAGAATAAAACAGATTTTGTATGAACCTTCTAACTGTGCAAAAAGGCTGTGTACTATATCAGTGATAGCAAACTCTTTAGAGTTTTGATACAAACAGCATGCTGGGGCATGTGTGCCACAGATTCATCACTGCACTATTTGATTTTCTAAATAATTAGATATTCTGGGGGCTGGGAATTTAGCTCAGTGGCATAAGCACCTGTCTGGCAAGTGCAAGGTATTGAGTTCAATCCCCGGTACCAAAAAAAAAAAAAAAAAAAAAAAAAAAATTCTAGATGTTAAATCAACTCCTTTTAAACCTGTAAGAAAAAATAAGTTCAATAATACAGAAAGAGTTTATTTCACCTACTATTTATTCCATCTATATATTGCTACTGTATTTCCTTAATTTTAATTTGGTACATGTAATACTGTAACTTCAGATGCCAAATCAGCTACTTGTAAATATCCACAATGCAGAATTCCTGTTAATTTCATGCCATCTATTCATGCTCAAACTGTAAAATTTATCTTTTCATAGGTTTAAGAGTACGATATATTATAAAGCCTTCCAGTGAGGAATAAATTTGTATTTTCATTCATATGTGAGCATATCAAAACTACTAAATTCTGCTATAAGATTAAAAAGACTTAATTAAATTAAAGTATTTAATATTGTAGTAGTGTTCAAGTTATTTTTGTTAAAACCAACATGGCATATTTACTTTAGGAAACTTTTGAACAGCATTAACTTTAAAAATGAAGAAAAACAAATATATATACACTTAAAGTCTTTAGAAGTAAAAGGTAATCAAGTTAAAACAGGCCACATATATGTAAGAAACAGAAAAACTGGGGAAATCCATATACGTTTTATACTTTAGTTAATAGTACTGTTCCAGTTAATTTCTTATTTTGGACCATTGTTCTACCAGTTATATAAGATTAACATAATAGGAAGCTCAGTAAAATGTATACAGGAACTTTTGGCACTAATTTTGAAACTTCTGTAAGTAAAATTATCTCCAGACTTTAAAAAAAAAAAAAAAAAAAACTGTAGAAAAAAATCCCTCAGAATGTGCCTTCAGCTGCCCCAAATGGATGTAATTTAAGACAGTATTTTAAACATCATTAGAAATCAGTATGTTTACTTAACATTATAGTCACTTTATTGCTCTAAAAAGTTTAGTTCTTAAAACCATCAATTACATAAATAGCCACACACACATACAAAATCAACTGTATATTATGAGGTTGCTTCTCCAATTCAGTGGATAAATATTACAAAAATACAAAAATAGTCAGTTGTTAAGCTACCAAGTAGAATTTTTCTGGTAATCTATCCTAAGAATATCACTTTTTATAAATTAGGAACAAAAGGAAAAATGTTACTGATAAGTCACTAATAAATGTATTTGAGAAATCCAAATTACATGCAGAGAGAAGAAAACTGGTTACAAAAACCATTTCATTAGTCTAAAATTGTGCAATCTTTTAAACATTTCCAATCATGCAATAGTAGCAAGGATCAGAATAAATTTTATAAAGCAGTTGACAGGAGCTCAATGAACACGATTTAACATGTTATACAATTCAAGTCACAGCTTCACAATATATCCAATTCCCCAATCAGTGAACTGAAACTGTCAAACTGAAATCCACACTTGCCCATACCTCCTCCCTCAACCATACCCTCAATGAACTGCAATCCTATAAACTTTTCCATTTAACCTTTTAAGTGAAATTTGATGGGAAAATATGTAATCTACCGAATATCTTTATTATTTTAGAACACACATGAGCACTAGTCATGTATTCTCTCTCTGATTGTGGTACCAGAGATTGAACTCACCTCACATTTGTCAGTCAAGCGCTTGTGCTCCTGAGCTAAACCCTAGGCCCAGTCACATATTCTCAATCTTTAGTTACATTTCTTTCATATGGACTCTTAACTGCTGCAACTGTCCAGAAAAATTCAAGCCTAAGAGACCCAAAAACTAGAGTCAAGAATCTGAACTTGATAACTCCACAAACTATAATTATACTAATAACCTATCTGGTTCATGTTTGTAAAAAGATTTTATGATTGACGAATGTTACTCAATGAGTCTCTAAAAGGGAAGCTGTCACTACTACTTTCTGATATAAAATAGTTACATGAACCCTAACAGCTGTCCTAGCAAGGCAGCAAAGTCAGTAACAATTTGAAATAAAATTACAGTGAGAATAATTTGTTAAAGGCATCAATGAAAATTACTGAATGGCAAAAGAATACTGTCTCAAAATACACTGAATTAACACGTTATTATTATTCTGAACTCATGCTAGATAAAAACTCAAGATTATTAATTAGAGTGAAACAAATTTCAGAACTTTACAAGAAATAAATGTATTTCATGATACAGGCACAGCAGCATCTAAAAAAATTTGGTATATTTACCACTAGATACAAACTCCCCTTTCCATTAGCAACAGAGCACAGTAAAATTTTCTGAAACTTTTATTAAAAAGGCTTGATTTAACATGCCAGGGAAATGATTACTTTTCCAATGAGATGCAATTATTTAAGTTACGTAAATTGGATTGTGGTCATTTTAAGACCTGGAATTTTTGACCCCTAGTAGAAGTACCAGCTGCTAATAATGCTTATATTATGTACATAGCTTAACTAAATGTTAAACTACACAACTGTTGGTGCCAGTCTGCTTATAAAGGCAATGCTCTGGAGGCAAAGTCTTCTCACAAACAGCGGGCAGGCAGGTTTCATTATTATATGTTCAACAACAATCCTCAGTTCATTAAACAAGTTCCTACAAAATAAGGAAAAAACAATGAATAAGCAATATAATGCTATCAAATGTTTATGAAGTTTATCACAGCCAATAAAAAATTTGCAGAAATAAAGATTAACCTAGAATGCATTACAGAAAACATACAAAATACACATAAAATGGATGGCACCTCTGTGGTTCTAGCACTCTGCAGGCTGAGGCAACATGATTGTTTGAGTACAGGCTTGGAGACCAGCCGGGACAATACAGAGATGCTGCCTCAAGCACATGCGCACACAAAATTAAATCCCTAAAATCAGCAGCTGTCTTTAACAAAAATATTTTGAAAAATGGCTATCTCTAAGGCCTGAGATTAGGGAAGACTTATTTTTTTTTTTTCCTTTATAGTAGTCATGCAACTTTCACATTTAATTTAGGCGAATTCAGGCTTATTTAAAAAGAAAGCAAGCAAAGTTATCTAACATGGACAGCCCATATCTTATTTCTTTAAATGAACATGCACTCTCACAGAGCTTTCTTCATTAGGAACATGAATTTCACAATTATAGTGAAATTTAAATGAGATAAGTGGGCGTTCAGCTTCCTAGAAATCAAACTGGCTCTTTTTTCTTCAGAACCATCAAAATCTGGTCTCTATCGAATTTGCTGCCTCATCTCTTGCCACAATTTCATTGACTAACTTTTGTTTCACGTTTGTGCCCCAAATACTTTGAGGATTCTGCCCTTCTCCTAAGTATGCTTGTTGCCTACAAAATATTCTCTATTATATTCTGTATAGATGACATGCATTATCTGGTTAATATATGCAAAATCATATATATTGTAGTATAATTTATAGATGATTTAAAAGATTATCAAAAGCAAGCAATTTTGACTTCACAATTCCTACTTTATATGCTGCCTCATCTACATGAAGTTGTAACTCCGATTTCTAACTTTCTGTAGTCTCTGAGTACGTCTATGGTTAGAATTTTCTTTTTAAGTATTTCATATGCTCTCCCACAAAGTCAGAAATACACAATTTGGAAAATTGCACAACACCCAAATCCTGCTCTTCCTTTACCTTTTAGGGTCCTCTTCCCCATGATCTAAAACACTATTTTTTGAGTAGTTTTCTAATTGTTTCCTTTTCTACTAGGTTAGTTCAAATTGATCTATTTTTTCTTCTTGATATGCCTGCAGGCTTCCGGAATATTTACTTCTAAATTAATTTCATCACAGGGGTTTCTAAACCCTTCACACCGTAAACTTCATAAGTCTTCCTACATATCAAAATAAAATACTTTCACAATCTGGTCCCTTCTACTACCTACCTCTCTGAGCACATGTCTTTCTACCACTGTCCTATGTATTTTCTGAGCTCAAGCAACATGTAACTACTGGTATGCTGAGTACTTCCAAGTACCATGGTACAACTACTCAGACTCTTTCTTCGAAAGATCTGGCTCCTGTTCACACCTCCTAATGAATTCTCATTTTTATCCTATTCCCCATGATTTCATAGGACCTTCATCATCACACCAACTCAGTTGTCTAATCTATCAGGAATAAATCTCTCAAAAGGACATATTTAATTCTACATAAACTTGTTAACAATCATATAAAATCGCTTACCTACCTACTTTCTTTCTTTTTTTGGGACAGGATCTGCACACGAGTTGAGGTCAGCCTTGAACTTACTATGTAGCCCAGGCTGGCCTTGAACTCACGATGACTCCCTTCCCTCGTCTCCCAAGTGCTGGAATTACAGACACTACCACACCTGAGTATTCATTTGAAAATACTCTTCAAATGAAAAATGTAAGAAAACACCTAAAAATACTCTAGTAACAAAAAGAAAGGAAAATCTTGGCTTTTTCATTGGCAAACACCAGTCACTGACTGGTGGTAGCGAACCTATGGCATGCGTGCTGCGGAGAACGTTAGCCCTGAAACCTCTAACTGGTTCGCCATCACTGCTTAGTGCTGTCAAGCAGAGATCAATGGTGATAATTTTGTGGATCTGTGCTGTCCAATATAACTGTCACCAGGGACACATGGCTTTTTAAGTCCCTAACTTGTAGTTTTCTGTGACTCAGGAAATGAATCTTAAATTTATGAATTTAAATGTCACTCATGTCTGATGACCTAGACAGAATGGTTATAATTTACTGTAGACATCTAGAAAGAAGGATACTACCACTTTGAGAATAAATGTTATGACAAGTAAAAATACTATACAAACTGTTATAACTCTTTTTTTTTTCAATTTTTTTTTGGTCTTTTTCGTTTTTTTTATCGGTACCAGGAATCAAACTCACGACTGCCTGCTTGCAAGGCAGGCACTTATGCCACTAAGCTAAATCCCCAGCCCCACTGTCATAACTCTTAACAAAAATAATGAAAAAATGTAGTTGTACAGCCTATTTATTGATATTTACAAGCCCAAATGTTTTCCATTACCTTTTACTGTCTTCATTAAAATGTATGCTTATCAGAGAAGCTTGAAGATGCTTATTAGCACATCTTTGTGATATCCTGATCCACTGCTATCTTTTCCTTTTCGGTCTACAAAAATTCTACATTTCTAGATTTGCTTTTTCTTTTCTTTCTTTTTTTGGGGAGTTCGAACTCATAACTTCATGCTTGTGAGGCAGGCACTTATGCCACTGAGCTACATCTCCAGCTCTAAACTTCCAGATTTAGTGGAATGACATAAAAGGTATATAGAAAAAATAAGGTATAAAGCAGCACAAAAAACCAAACTTACAAATGGATGTGAGGGCAACAAACCAGAAGACAATATGTAAAATCAACTCATAGACCAGAAAAAAAGATAAAGAATCATGGAATCCAGTAAAGGGAAAGCTTATTTACTACCAGAAACTCATTAAGAACCTGTGTTCTTATGTGATGGTAAATATTGTAATCTCAGCTATTGAGGAGGCGGAGGCAGAAAGATCCGAGTTTGAGCCAGCCCTCACAATTTAGTGAGACTCTGTCTCAAAAGGACTGGGAGGATAAAAAAAAAAGACCAGGAATGTAGCTCAGTAACTCCTGGGTTCAATCTCTAATATCAACCCCCCCTTAAAAAAAAGAAGTCTGTATCTAAAATAAGTTCCATTTCACAAAATCAACATTAAAACATTTCCTGGAAGGAGAATCAGACATAGACTCGGGAAAATAAAGTTGCTTTCAAAGAACACAATAGTTTAAAACCTCCATGTAACTCCCCAACCTTTTTTGGGGGGTGAGGGTAACAAATTAAGAGACAAGGTCTCTGTTGCCCAAGCAACACAGTTCAGTTGCTTTGAACTCTTGGACTCTTGAAATCCTCCTGTCTTACTAGCTGCTGGTGTTGCTAATCTGTGACTATAGGTACATGCCACCACGCCTGGCACGATTAAGTACTTCTGTCTGATAGTTTTGAGACAGGGTTTCATTTTGTAGTGTAAGCTGGTGTTCAATTCACTTATGTAGCCAAGGCTGACCTCAAACTCATGACAATGCTCCTGCCTCAGCCTCCTGAGTGCTAGCATTACAAACGTGTGCCACCACACTGGGTCCTGGCACAGTGAAGTACTTTAAAAATGCTTTTTCTTCTATAAATAAAGAAATTCAAGTTGAAATAACTTTGCCTACGACCATACTATAGATGTACCAGCATTCAAATTCATTTTGTGATATTACAGACATCATCCTAATACACTGGATTTCTAAGTGAATTCTACATTATTTTAAACATGAGAATAAAAACAGTGTCAACATTTTTACTGAGTTAATTGAAAATGCTATATAAACATACTCATTTTAATTCTGCTTTGAGAACAAAATCCATAACTTAAGTATTTGGTTCCTGAAAACTATTACTAATTGCCTAAAATATTTCTAAGCTTCTCTAATTTTCTCCTGCAAACTATTCTGTATAAGACTATCAGAAGAAAAAAAAAAAAAAAAAAAAAAAAAAGAGTACCAGAAGAATATTCTGATCATGTCCAAATCATCATTCCCACATAGCTAAAAGACAAATTCAAAACTTCTAGTCTTGAAACTCAAGAAGCTTTATGATACGGCTCCATGTACCTTTCTAATCTAGTCCCACTTCCAGCAACACACCTTTCAGAATCTCCACTACCATGAAACATGTGCACTCAGTGCTCCTCAAATACGGCTTATCCTTTGTGCCTCTGAATTCAAGCTGCTACTCTCTCTACTAAAAGGCTTTCCCCTCTCACTGTGTATTTAATCTTTCCAGAACAAATTTAAATCCCATTCTAGAAAACCTTTCTAGAATTATTTTGGCCCAATCACTCCCCCCCCCCCCAGTAAAGGACAGTACTAATACAACAAAAATATGGCAGCTCATTGTACAGTAACCCCCTTACCCAAGGAGTCTACGTGCTGAGACCCCCAAGAGATGCTGAAAGCACAGACAGCGGTGAATCCTACATATACTTTGCTTTTTCCTGTATCTACAAACTTCGATAAAAGTTTAATTTATAAACTAGGCATTGTACAACACTGATACTCTGGACAATGGAATGATTCACATGTCATGTGAGGGGGAGAATGACAGCACAAGATATTATCACCCTCCTCAGATCCGCACATGATTTAAAACTCATAAATTATTTATTTATCAAATTTCTCACCTAATACTTTTAGACCACATGCAACTGAAATCACAAAAAAAAATCAAACTGTGGATGAGGGGGGAACTGTTGTGTATTGACCTGTAAATCTCTTATCCTGAAGGAAATAATTTTGAGAATGGGACTTAAGTCTCATATCTTTATACACTCTATTAGTGGTATTTTAAAGACAGTCAAATATATCTCCAATACTAATTTCTGAAAATACAGGTGGTCCCCAATGTACACTTTGACTTGCTGTATGTTGACTTACTTTCAATCCTATAATGTTACGAGAATGGTATTCAGTCAACAGAAACTGTACTTCAAATTTTAATGTTTCCCGAGGCTAAAAATACATGTATGGTATTCTTTATCGCAATGTTTTCTGCCGTTCTGCAATAGCAGAAAGTTCTAAACACCCAATCAGCCACTAGTGTTGCTAAGCTATGTTTGCTAGGGTAGGTGTATTAGCTGTACTTTCAACTCATGACAATTCCAACTTAAGATGAATTTTTCAGGACACAACCCCTTCATAACTCAAAGAGGTCTACACAATCCTCTCCTCATTAAGCCTAGCTAATTCTGAGACCGAGAATTACAAAAACACTTCTTCCTTCTAAATTCTAAACTATTAGCTAAATAACTCCTAACAGTTATAAAAATTATAAATTGTCAATAGCTTAAACAAATAATATAAATTTAAACTATCAGCTTACCGACAATAAGGATTTCTTCTAGAGGAGTATCGAAGCGTAAGAAATCTATAGTATATAAAAGGCTGGAGCAAACTTCCTTGGCCACTGAAATAAACAAATATAATGAATAAATTATTACCAATTTATAAGTATAATCAAAACATAGGCAATTTAAATGGAGAACACGTATATCTTCATACATTAAAATGGTCAGTAGTATCTATCAGCGCTAAATCCAAGTTATTCTTAAAAAGGAAACAAACGAATGTAGATCACTGGTAAAGAATAAAATAAAAATGTATTTCTTTTGAAATTTTAAAATACTAAGTCAAGAACATTACAAATGCTTCCATAATTACCACAGAAAATTGGCATCAAATTTTAAAATTAGTAAGTACTCAAAAAAAAAGGGGTTTATTCCATATAAATGAATGAAAGCTCAAAAGTATCCTGGCTAACCTACATAGCCTACACTAGTAAGTATTTCTGATTTAAAAGTATAAGTACAATATTCCCAAAGTTACATATATTTATCAAATTTCAAGTTTGGAGTTCTTCCATACAAAACAACTCTATGGTATTCACTGAAATGACTAAAACCAAAACATAGCAATGGGGCTGGGGATGTGGCTCAATGGTAGAGCTCTTGCCTAGAATGTGTGAGGGCCCAAGTTCCATCTCCTGAACTGCAAAAATACATAAAGAAACAAAAAACACAGCAGCAACCTGAAGTGGACAATGAGCTAGGAGGGCTGGATTTGGTATATAACTACTTAAAATGCCAGTAATAAAAACTATATAGTAACTTTGGAATATAAAACTATATATATATTATACAACTATATCTCAAAACATTAAAATGCTAAATGTAGGTTTTTAGTTTAATTTTTTTAGCCTTTTAAATTGTGTGATATTTTCATAACTAAAATAATTTACATGACTACAAACATCACTAAATTAAATATCACATCCTTTGTCTCCAACAAGTATTGATAAACTTTATATACACAGTATAAATACATAGTCACTGATATTTTCCATTATCTAACTTAGTCCTTTTCCCAAAGCACAATCTCTGTCCAGAAGTATATAAAATGTGACACTCATAGCATTTACTTTATAGTAATAATTCACTGATCCACATAACAAGCAAGTAGTAATATCATCTAAGAAAGTAGTAATATCGTTTCCAAGAAACTGAGACAGAACCATACATACTTATTTGTGCACATCCTTTCCCCAAAATATAAACAGGAATACTCTGTATTGTTTTTAACCAACTTTATTATATCTTAGAGATCATCCCACATGACAATATATAAATTACTTCATTCTTTTTTTATAAGCTCCATCTAAGGCTTATACCAAGCCTAGGTGACAGGCTCTTAAGTACTGGATATTTAGGATTATGCCAATATATAATTAGAAATAAAGATACAATGATCCTCTTTTTATCTGTCTCTGTACACATGTGCATATATGTGTAGGATTAACAAACTGTTAATTCATTTTTAAATACAGACCTTTCAGCAATACCACTCTACAAATAAAACTTAATAAAGCCTTCTAATATCAGACTGTCAAACTTCAAGAGTACCACATAAAAATGTCAATGACTTACAACTTTAAAAAATTTCACACTTTGGGTTATATTCCAGTTACAAACTTAAAGCATTAGTAGCTTTTCCTAATAAAAATGGAGGGTTAGAGATCTGGCTCCTTGATAAAATGCTTCCTTAGCATGTGCAAGGCCCTAAGTGGGATCAATGAAGTGCAAAACAAAATGGAAAAAAAGGAACAGAGTACAAATTTATAAACACTGCGGTTCTTTATAATAAAAATTACAAAACATTGAAAGACACAAAAAAATATCACCTGTCTTTATGTTCCTGGGTTGGAAAAATGTTAAAATGTCCTTACGTCCCAAAAGCAACTACAGATTCAATGGAATCTTCATGAAATTTTCAGCGATATTCTTCACAGAAATAAAAAAAAAAAAATCATAAAATACATATAGAAACACAAAAGACTCTGAAATAGCCGAATTGATCTTGAGCCAAAAGAAAAACTCTAAAAGCATAATGATACTTAACCTTAGAACATAGTAAAGGTCTATAGTAACCAGGACAGCATGATAGTGGCACAAAGGCACACACAGGCCAGTAGAACAGAAAAGAGAGCCTAACAATAAGACCTACAGTCCATTTATAGCCAACTACTTTCTGACAAAAGAACCAAAAACATACCCTGAAGAAAGGACAGCCTCTTTAATAAATGGTGCTAAGGAAAACTGTGTATCTGTAAGTGGAAGTATCAAACTACTGTAGATAATCTTCTCTCCTCATGTACTAAAACCTCAAAATTGTCAAAGAACTCTGAAACTAGCAGAAGAAAAATAGAAGAAACACTTCAAGATATCAGTATAAGCAATGATTTTTTGGATAAGACCCCAAAAGCCCAGGCAACAAAAGTAAGAACATGTCAAACTGCAAAACTGCTGCACAGCAAAGGCAACAACAAAAAATGAAGACACCATACAGACTGGGAGAAATTATTTGCAAACATTCATCTGACAAGGGATTATTATCCAGAATGTATAACAAGCTTAAGCTGAAAACAATCCAAAAAAAAAAAAAAAATGGGTATATGATCTGAATAGACACTTCTCAAAAGATACATGAATAGCCAACAAGTATACAAAAAAATGCTCAAGATCGTTAGTCATGGGGGAAAGGCAAATCAAAATCACATGAGATGTCTTCTCACCCATCAAAATGGCTACTGTGACAAAAGCAAAAATAAATGCTGGCAAGGATGCAGCGATAAAAAGAACTGTTATACACAGCCAATGGGGAATGTAGATTAGTGCAATGAAGAACATTGAAGGAGCCCCAAACAACTAAAAGTACATGATCCAACCATTCCATTTCTAGGAGCTATACATCTAAAGATGTGAAATCAGCATAGCTACACTCTCATGTTTATTTCATCACTATTCACTGTCTCAACTGAGTTATCCATTAGCTGATGAATGAAGACAAAGTGACACATATGTACCCAAGTATATAAACACTATGGAGTATCATTCAGCCCTATTGAAAAATGAAATATTCTTATTTACAGCAAAAATGGATGGTACTGGAGGAAACTAACAAGCCCAGCACAGACAAATGCTAGACAAATACCTATGTTCTCATTCATATTCAGAAGTGTATTTTCAAAGAACAGTAAAATAGTGATTTGGCTCCACGGTAAAGCACAGAATAGAGATTAAGAAGTGTAAGAGGGAAGGTGGAGACAAGAAAGTTGGTAATAGGTAACTGAAAATCCAGTTTCAACAGAGAAGCAAGTTCTACTGGAAACAAAAAAAGCATAATTAATTTCTTCTAAATTTAAGTATGTCTGATAAAATTTCATTTCCTATACAGTAACTAGAAATTAAGACTTGTTTATACACAGTTAAGTGTTTAGGTAACATGTTTAAGGGGGCACAAACAAGTTAATACACCAATGAAGTCAAAATGCAGTGCTTCAACAAAAAATCTGCGGTTTTAAAATGAGATTTTGTTTATCTAAATTTATACATGATCACAGCATTTCATTTTGTTTCTTTATGGTAATGAGTACCGAATCCAGGGCATCACACTGACTTACATTCCCACACTTTTTGAAACAGGGTCTTAGTAAATTGTCCAGGCTGTATTTGAACTTGTGATCCACCTGCCTCTTAGAGAGCTGGGATTATAGGTAAACACTACCCCGCCTTGTTTTTATCTCTTGGAGCACAAGGGATGGAAACCAGGGCCTCACAAATGATAGGCGGGCACTGAGCCTGATTTAAGATGAACATGATAAATTATTTTACTTATTTTTAGAACGTAGACATCAATTACATCTATTTAAAAAAGTAGGTTTAGTATTTACCATTTAAATCTTCTATCACCTACATGAAACAAATGACAGAACATGGTATGTTCTAAGGCCAAGATTAGGTGATCTAAGAAACAGAAAAATGAGTAAGCAAGGAGGCAAAAAGTTCTTCTTACCAATTGTACTATGTAAGTGTCTGGTCAGGGTTACAAAAGACAGAGATGAAAAATACAATCTATACATCATAAGGAAGACAGTACAATTTTTATCTTTCCCTTTGCCACACATGACATTACCCTTTTCTGTGCTTTTGCCTCATAGGATAAAACTTACTAAATCTACAGTAGCCAGGTGTGGTGGTACACACCTATAATCCCAGCACCTGGGAGACGGAGGCAGGAGGATCATCATGAGTTCAAAATCAGCTTGGACTATATAGTGATTTTAAGGCCAGCCTTGAACTGCACAGTGAAACCCTGTCTCAAAAAAGATAAATAAAATAAAACCACACCCCCCCAAAAAAAAAACTATAGTAATTTTATAGAATAGTAATTTATAAATACAGTTACAATAAATTCATCAAATCCTATATCCAGCATTCGTGGATTGCTGCTGCTGGATTGTATACATTTACTTATTTTCACTTAACTTTTTTTTCCATACCGGGGATTGAATCTGAAGGCCTATCTTCGCACGCTAGGTAACAAGATAATAGTCTAAACTGGGCATACTGGTGCATACCTGTCATCCCATCCAGGAGGCAGAGGCAGGAGGATTTCCATCAGTTCAAGGCCAACCTGGGCAACTATTATATGCCTGCAGAAGCAACTATTACTATATATCTAATTTTTTTCTTGGTCCTGGGGATCAAACCCAGGGTGTACTCTATGACTGAATTACATTCCTAACCTTCTTCTTTACTTTGATACAGGGTCTCACTAAGTATCCAGGCTGGGCTCAAATGTTTGGTATCCCTCCCTCAGCTTCCTGTATAGCACCAGCACATCTAGCACACTTACTATTTTCTTGACTTCAAAAAATCATCTTGGTTAATGGCAAAGATTTTCTAGAAAGTAGTAACTCTGAAATCAAAGTGTTCAATGATGTATTATGAGGAATGCACAACAAATTACTAGTTTTATTGTGTCTAGCTTCTTTACTAAAGTGATTAAAATCCATCTAGCTCTACATGTCAATATCTACTTCATTTGATTCAACCTACACAAAATTTGAGTTAGTATCTTTATTATAGTCACTTATCAGTCTTCCAAAAATACATGTATTTTTTATTCTTACCTAAAAAGCATAAAAACTGTAGCAGGCATCAAGAAAATTTCATTGCAAGCAATGAATTTCAGAATATTTTGTTGATTAGCACTTAATTTATCCAAGACAGCTCTCAGTAGAGGTAAACTATTTGAACCCTTTGCCTAAAACAAGAGAAAACAAACATTACATATAGTGAAGCATTTTGGTAATCCAGTTACAATCAACCCTTAGTATCCATGGGAGATTAGTTTCAGGGGTACCATGATCTGCAGAAGCACAAGACTCTTATTTAAAATGACAATTTCACATAACCTACACACATCCTCTCATACTTCATCTCCAGATTACTTACAATGCCTAGTATAATGTAAATGCTATGTAAGAAGTTGTACTGTATCGTTTAGAAATGATAATAAAAGTCTATATATACTCATTACAGGTAATTTTTTTGGCAACTACTTTAATCTAAGATGGTTAAAGCCACTCTCTGCACACCCCAGGGATACTGAACACTGACAATATTTTCTTTTTTTTTAATAAGCCGCCTATAATCCAGGAGTCAAAGAAATAGTGCATTTTACTTACATCAAGGACTTTTTTCGTGTATGTGGCAGCATGAAGCAAAGAGAATAATAAGACTGGGAAAATACTCACTGAAGAAAATAGTTAAGGAAAAATTTACCAATTATCAAATATTTTGCAAAACAAGGTATGCACTATATCCAAATATAAAGATCTGAAACACCTGCAAAATAAATTCAGTGCAATGCGTCTGTTTTAGTGATATATCTTGAACCAAACAGGTTACTTATTAAAAAATTCCCTATGATCATTATACATATGAAATATATCAATGATTTTAACTAAAAAATCTAAAATGTACTTTCAATCTATAATACAATGAATATGTTTATGACACTGCACATAATGGAAAATTTCAATTACTTAAGCATATAAAAAAGTATTTAACTATTTAACTTTCTAAAACTCATCGTTCTTTTCAAGAAGAAAAAAGACAATGAAAGGTTTTTCTCATTTCATTGGTTATTAAAGCACTGTAAATATCTTAATTATATTCAAACCTAGGCTACCTCAGAGAATTATATGTAACTTTTAACCCAACAATGGCCATTCTGGTCACTCTGAGCCTTCAAACACTTGCATGCTTTCACAGATCCTGACCATGGAGGTTAACGTCAGTTAATTCCCAAATTTTCCTCAGCTGAAGATCCTTTATTATTTTTTTCCTTACAAAACTGCCGTAATTTTAAGCTCCTGCACCTAAAAACTGTTTCAGTTATATACTCAGCAATTTAGCTATAGACATAAACAGTGAAACCTTACATTTAAGTCTAAATGGTTTGACTTCATGCCCTGAATAAATGTACAATTTTCGTCTAACTTTTTGAAAAATGGAAATTGCTCAAAAGATCACATTCACAATCCCAACTACTGCCAGGTTGTTATTAGAAAAACAAAAACAAACTTGTCAAGTACTTCCATGAAATGATACTGTTTGTTAATCATGAATGACAAAAATGCTAACTCTCAAAATACTAGCAGTTTCTAAGAAACGAATTATATTTTCGTACTTTAGACAGTGCCTCAATATGAATGGGAAAGAGTGACTACTATAACAATCTGCATATCAAATTTATTATAACCACAACTCATTTAGGACTCCGTATTTCCTAACTTCTAATTGGTGAGCACCTATCCAAGTATTAGAAAAAAAACCTAATTCTGTAATAATATACCAATTCTCCAAATTAATAACCTGACCAATTCCTCCTTTCTATTCGCACAAATTAGGTAAAATACCAATTTTCTGAGTAGAGATCTCTCTTTCTCTCTCTCTCTCTCTCTCTCTCTCTCTCTCTCTCTCTCTCTCTCTCACACACACACACACACACACACACACACACACACGTCTTCAACATTTTAATGAATCACAGATACACCTCTTTAAAAGTGATGAAAGCTACAGTCCTCTCTTATGGTCACTGTAAAACTCTGTTGTAGTTTACATAATTCAATTTAAACTTTGACATATTTAGACCTGAAGACTGATTCAATAACTCAGGTAATGTCAGGCGCTAAAACAGAACTCTCAATTGTAAGTTGAAGTATCTGGGCTTTAGTTCTGACTCTGTTAACCACTGATTTTCCTAGACTGTTTCATCCTCTTATTTGTTCAAGGTCAATCTGGGCTAAAAAGCCAGTTCAAGGTGAGTAAAACGAACAACTACAACAACAACAAAAAAGACTATAGACAGGCCAAAGCTAGAGGTTTCTAATGAGCCATTCAGCTCGAATACTGTGTAATTCACAAACCCACCTGTTACAATGTACAGTTCAGGAATCCATAAAAAGACTCCACTTTCAGTGTCATTTTTTAAACTATTTAAAGGGCTATAGTACAATTTTAACTCTAAGTACGTTACTTGTCCTTAACAGACCAAGTGAAATTATGGCCCTTACCCAATTTCTGAAGAATCAGTTTACCTAGTTTATGTTATTTCTATTGCTTACCACTGCTCCTTCCATAGGAATGTAGGGAATATGAAATTCTTAGGCTTCAACATCCCATGAGACAAGTTAGCAAATAACCAACAATACAGAAAAGGCAGACGGGTTGTCTGCAGTCACAGTCTCATTTGTATGACCTGAGGATTCACTCAACACAACATACTGAGCACCTGTTGGTACCAAGTACTGACCCAAAGTTCAGTACTGATGTATTCAATTTGCTCTAAACTAATTACCTACAATATATTTCCTCTCACTTCTATTTCTCTCTCCAAGGAAATTTTAAGCTATTAAAAGGAATAACTAAAAATCTTTACATATCTTCCCAAAGTATCTCAGAAAAAGTGAGGCTGGTTATGGAGGCACATGCCTTTAATCCCAGCACTAGGGTGACTGAGGCAGAAAGACTGCTATAAATCTGAGGCCAGCCTGGACCATCTAGTGAATTCAAAGGTAGCCTGAACTACATAGCCAGACCCTGTGTTAAAACAAACAAACAAACCAGAATTTTAAAAATTGATTGCAAGGGCCAGGATTTAGCTCAGCAGTGTAAGTGCCTGCCTGGCACGTGTGAGGTCATAAATTTTATCACAGGTACAAAAAAATAAGATTAACTGCAAAGCTCCTCAATGAATAAGCCTAAGGAAAGCTAGCCACTCCGATGATATGCCAAATAAACACAGTTGTAATACAACAAACATATAGTGAGTTTTACCAAAAAATAAACAAACACAAATTATGATGTGACATTAAAGATCCATGCATTAAAATATAAAAAAACTCTATCCTTATGTCCCAACCTACTTACATTATCCTGATAAAACGAACTCTAAATAGAATCTGCATATATCACACATATAAATGGTTACTGGTTCTACCTAGGAATAGACAAAAATATCTTGAAACTGCAGCTGGATGCAGTGGTACACTGTAATCCAGACACTGCAGGAGGCTGAGGCAGGAGGGTTACTTAGTAAGACAACATTTAAACAAACAAACAAACAAAAATGCTGGGAATGTCTTTAATGGTAAGAGTATCTCAGTTCAATCCTCAGTACCACCAAAAAACTGTACTTAAACACAATTAGGTCAGCCTTTCAAAAGGAAAGCTCTTGTCAGTATTACTGTTTAGCCTCCAAAGTTCTAAGCAATAACAATTATTTTTTTCAAAATACACCTCGGGGGCTGAGGATTTAGCTCAGCGGCATAAGCCTTACAAATGCTTGGTGGTGAGTTCAATCCCTGGTACCTATAAAAAAAAAACAACAACAAAGTACACCTTGGATTAAATAGGCAAGTTCCTCTATACAGTATTGAGGTGCTCAGGAAACCTGAGTTTTTTCCTCTTCTAGTTTTTCTAACACTTGTAAATCTGGGGCTAGAGTGGTAGCTCATTGGTAGGGAGTATGCTTAGCATATGCAAAGACCTGGGTTCAATCCTGAATAACAACAACAAAGTGTGCTTAAAGTTTGAAACTTTACCTGGGTGTGGTGGCATGCACCTATAATTGCAGCACTCAGGAAGCTGGAGACTGAGGCAGGAGGATCACTGTAAATTCGACGCCACCTTGGACTACATAGTACAGTTGTTAAAATGCCGGATGTTACATCCCTCCTGACAGCCTGAATTGCATAGTGAGATTTTGTCTCAAAAAAAAACAACTACACATTTACAAGCATAGGTATTATGCTTGTGAGTAATATTTAATATTACAGAAATAGTTTATTGTGTTTTCCATATGTATAATTGTATCATTAAGTATTCAAATGCTTTTAGAGCAACACTTCAACAAATACAAAATGGTTAATTTCCAGAGGGCTGCTCTACAAGGAAAAAAAAACTTAAAGACTGGTAACTTTTTCCTCACAATGCATAAAAGTCCTGTAAGAACCCTATTTTTAAAATGTTTATCACTTTGCTTACTAAATTGTAAAACTCTCTTTTTTGTACTAATTCCCATTTTATCACATTCCTGAAATATGAAAACATACAAATCCCAAAGGAATTGTTAAATCCTCACTGGCTACACAGACTACCAATTTTTATTTCTTAATTAATTTTCATTTGTTTCTAACAGTGGGTAATACGAAAGAAACAAGCTCAGGGTTTTTTTTTTTTTTTTTTTTTTTTTTTTTTGAGATAGGGTTTCACCTATGTAATTCAGGCTGGATGTAAACTCACTAAGTAGTCCAGGCTGACCTCAAACTCACCGTGATCACCCTGGCTCAGCCTCCTAATGCCAGGATCTCTCGTTCTGAAAGCAAGAGATCTGGATATCTTTCCAAACATGAATTAAATGAAAGAAATTTTCAAATGTTTTAAGTCCTGTGTAAGTTTGTGGCTCGAAGCTGAGTTTTTTGTGTATGTGCTGGCAATTGAACTCAGGGACTTTGCACTAAGCTACATGCTCAGCCCATATCATTTTGTATTTTGAGACAGGTTCTTACTAAGTTGCTAACATGTCCAGGCACAGCTCAAAGTTGCATTGCTTCTGCCTACGCTTCCCAGAGTACTGGGACTACAGGCATACATCAATATACCAATTTAAGTTTTTAAACATTCATCGCTAATGTAGAAGTTGACAAGAGGTCAGAACACTGAAAGAAAATTTCCAAATCAGCTTTTCCATGTATACATTTTAAGTAACAGGGTCAGAACCTCTTACACTAAAACCATCTTCCTTATAGATATCAAATGCCAAGAAGCAAACAAACCCATGCTTCATGGAATATTCTCATTACTGAATCTTTCCTACCAAAACATAAACCATCTCCCATTTGCTTAGCTGATGACTGGTCTGTCAAAAAGAGTAGAAAAGGATACTTGTCACAGGGTAAGAATTGACAAAGATGAGCGAATACAGCAGGTAGTGGCAGCTGTCCTCTAACAAAGCCTGGGCCAGGAATGCTCTGCTTAACTGGAAGTGTGGTAATCTCTGATGCAGTCTCAGAGCACTGGTGAGAGCATTTGCCAGCAAAGCACGTTGATAAAAGCTTGCTGCTTCATGCAACCTGCAAATTACCAAAGGAGAAGTTACCATGAGACATAAACAACGACCGTGTCTCTTCCTCCTTTGTGAATTGCATCAGAATTGCACAACACCAAAATCATTTAATTGCCAAAAGAAAAAAATTACTTTAACAGATTCTACCTTTTTAAAAGCATCTCCTCACATACATGTGCAACTGAATTTTATACAATGGCAATTTTTCTATCAGCTTAAAAAAAATGCAAAAATCATGAACTCCCTTCATTCCTATACAACTGTTTCCTCAGATTTTCAATGTAATGTTAGTTTCACAAATCACCAGATAAAAAACACTTACCCAATCAACTACTAGGTTATTAGTGATGTAAAATCAGATTTGTGCTTTTGTCCTTAAACCCCTCACAGTTTAGAATTCTTACACCTTAAAGACATTTTACAAACTGCCTGTACAACTGTCTTATTAAATCAGAAATTCATAATACATACCCAAGAAGAGGTAGAACAAACAAAGCAGAGCAGTAAACTGTGAACAATCGAGAAAGCCACATTGCTGTGTCCAGTTTATTGGTCATCATGAATTGCTAGATTTAAAAAGAAAAATATTTAGCAATCTAAGTCTGCAAATTATGTTTTTAAGGAAAAAGAGAAGGTGATTGTTATTTCCTATTCAAAATATTTAACAAACACGTAACATTTGTTTTTAGGTCATTAGATAAAAACTTACTGTTTTAACATGTATGGGCAATGATTAAGTCCAAATACTCTGTAGTTTTGATGTGGAAAACTCAGGAAATATTTTTAAAAATACCAATTTATATTTTAAAATTTTTGAAAAGAAATTAGAAAAAAACCTGAAAAATCTACAATTGTATGTGTTCCTTTAACACTTGCAATTCTGGCTTCTATGTTAAAAACATTAAGTAAGAACTGATTCCTCTCAAGATAACCATAATGCCTTTTCTTAGAAAATCTCAAATTCAAATAAGTATGTCTCAGACTTGAGTAAGAAGGCATCACATATATTCAGTTTGAATTAAATAAACCTTTAAAATAAATAAATAAAAATAAAAGAGAAAATCATGGTAATTGTTCTTATCAAACTCCTTAGTCTATTGTTGATACACAGAAGGGCCTATCTACCTCAGGTACTCAAAATACAGCTGTCGGGTATTAAGTGGCACCTGCTTTTCTTCTATGATTACATTTCCTCAAGGTTCTCCTGTAAGTTTTGCACCAGTTTCAATGACATTAAATTAAACTTCCATTTACCATTTTCTTCTCACTTTTTTTGTCTTTCCCTAGGCTGTATGCCCCCCATGAAGATCCATTATTACTGAAGCAAGAATGTAAAATCTGGTTTAATATTAAGATGTTTTACCACGTATCTTTAAATTATAAGGAGATTCACATTTCAACGATATAATATTTAGTATCACGATCCAAGCAAACTTACATAGGTGTATAAAACAGTTCCACCAAACAGTATTTATCTTTAGCATATGTGATGGATTTTCTATTTTTTTAATAGATGATGCTTCTACTAAATTAATTTCAAAATGGGTCTACCTAAAGTTAAAATATTGCTTTAAGAGTGAGGCAACACTGCTTGGCGTCAAACCAGGAACTGGACCTACTACAAGGCCAGGGCTGGACTGCACTGAAGTCTGGATTTCTAGAAGGTACGAGATGTTCCCAATGCATTGACAGGAGGAAAAAGCACAATACTATTGCTTCCATCCCTACTGGTGGTGTTTTTCACAGGCGGGTGGATTATTGTAAATACAACTGTTATTTATCTCAGTATCGAAGAGTTCAACCACTAATACCATGCCTATGGCATTAAAGCAACCATAACCTTCCTAATGAGTAATGCAGTATTATAGGACAAGCCTAGGGTGCCAGTTATAGTGAAGACTGAGTCAAACAGGTACTAGCATTTGGTTCTTCACTGGGTTTCACGCTGGCCTTTGGATCTCTGATTGTGTCTAATTGGATTTTCTTTGGAGGTTATATTGGCAAGAAAAAAACAATAGTATATTTTGGCATTGCTGTATTTTTCCAGAATGCATTTGTATTTTCTGTAGGACTAGTGTTTAAGTTTGGCCCCATGGAAGACTTGTAGCAATGAAAAAACTGCTATAGGAAACTTTCACGTGAGTAACTTCCATCATGTTTTGTTTTGTCTTTGAGGTAGGGACTCCATAAGTAGTTCAGGCTGGCTTTGAACTCTCGATGTAGGCCAGGCTGGCTGGATCAACTCCTGTTGATCCTCCTGCCTCACTCAGCCTCCAGTGTGCTGGGATTACAGGCATGCACCACCACACCCAGCTCTGTCAAGTTTTATCATGGTATAATTTGTAAAAATAAAACTAAATTATGAACCAATATTTGTATTTGTAAAAATAAAAGGAATTACACACTCATCAGTATATTTGGTCTGAGGTTCAAAAAACTGTAAAGAAAATGCTCTAAAGCTTTAATGTGTTTATTTACACGTGGCCTCTTCTTAGTCAAATGTGAATATAAGCTTTTTCTTGTCTTTATAAACTAAAAATACTGTGTTAAAGCAATTTAACTGTTATATTTTGGGGAAAATTTTTTAGGGAAAAAATCATTTTCAAATTCAAAGACATTTTACTGTAAGACTTCTTAAGCACATGCAGGTAATTTCACAAATAAGAAATATTCCTCTGATTTATTCTATTCAGACTTACCATCCTGTCATTCCCCTAAATTTAAAGGATTTGTAGCAGTTAAGTGAAAGGATGAATTTAGCTTACTGTGCAAAATTTCTCTACAAATACCCAAACTGCACCGCAGTTAAAAATTTAACATTCTCTTTAAAATCTACTTGTGTACAGTGTTTACTATGAAATAAATGACTGAGGTGTACACTTCATTTGGTACAATTTTACAGATGTGAATTTCATCACACAATAAAAAGGTATAACTGATTTACATGTTAAGAGTGAACTACCCCAGCACTACAGCTAGTAATGTTTTAAAGGCAAAAACTATTAACAGATTTGTGAATGAAAAATTTTTGAAGAGCAACAGTCACAAAATGTCAATTTCATGATATAGAACATCTTTCAGTTATAAAGGGAAAAGGTCTTTACAGTGAACAAACTGATGGACATGACCTTAACCAAATAATGAAACTTAAATTCCCCAATACAGGACTAATCAACAGGAACTGCCTCATCTATGCACTGAGACGGGACACAATATTACTTATGTAACTGCAATTTGAGACACATTCCCCAGAAAAAGTCTGGACTCTTGAAAATTACCACTATTTTGAAAGACACAAAGGGGACGAGGGCAGACAAACTGTTCTGCATTATGACAGACTGAAGAGATATGAACAGTAAATGCAGTATGTGCTTTCTAGAAAAATCTTGGAGATGGAAGCAATTTTAAAGAAACGACCAAATTTGAACACGGATTGCATATTAGGTAATAACGTATCAATTTTAAATTTCCCTAATGTGATAACTGCATTCTGGTCATGTGAAAGAATACCTAAATATTTCGGGTTAACAAACAAGATTAACTCAAATGGCCCAGCAAGATTAAAATGCGGTATTCAACAACGTTGCAATTTAAAAACAAAAACAAAAAATTTGCCCAATTACAAATTCATACTTTTAAAACTAAAATACAACGCTTCTGGTACAAACAACTAGAAACTGCAGCTCAGTATCTTAAAAATAAAAAATTTACAGAAGTGTGACATTTGTTTTCATAAAGAGAAAGTAAAGGAGCCGAACGTTCTTTTTGCGTAATTTCTATACGAAACAAAGTAAGTACAAAGGTTCTCTGTTAATTCGCGGGCGGGCCACGAGGCGTGTCACAGCACCTCGAATGGCATTTTCAACCTTGGGGTCTAGGACAATCAGAAAGGAATAGTAGGAAAAGCCAGGAAAACTCCATTTCCAGGGCGCACAGGTGGGGGTCACCTCTCCAGGCCTGCCGGTGGATGCTGCAGGAACAAACTCCCAGCGCTCACTTACAAACACCTCCACCCTACCCCTACCCTACCTCCACCCCCACTCTAGTCCGGGTCAAGGAAGCTCCGAGCTTCTGGAACGCCTTGGAACCTCGCTTCCTAACTAGTGCACATCAAGCGAGACAACCTTGCCCACTCACCACAGCGCCCGCCCCTTGGGGGCCGTTTGGGGTCGTATCAGCCATGGGAGACAAATTCGCGTCTGCTACGCTGTAATCGCGGAGCAAGAAGAAGTGACAGAACGTCAGCGCCGGGACCGCGCCCCGGGTAACTGGTTTCTTTGCCGGGTGCCACAGGCCCGCCGCGCCTTGCAGGAACTTCCAGACTCCAGAGGGCAAGGTTTCGCCGGACACTGTGCAACACACTGCCGCAAAGACACCACGGCAGTCGGGAAATACCTGTCCCGCAACGCCGAGATCGAAGCGGGCTTTCTAGAAAGACCGAAACAAAGGCGGGGCTTTCAAGCAAAGCCCTAATGGGCCGCCTAATGCAGCCGGCTTCAGGCTATTGCCTAACTCGGAAGTACTTCTGTCACTTCCGTAGGCATGAGGCGGTGACTGTGAGGGCAAACGGGAGGCATGACGGGAAGTGTAGTTTTTCTCTTCCTTCCGGCTCCACCTGTCCGTAGTCATTGGTTCAGTGAAGGAAGAAATGAGACACGCCGAATTTTGCTTTATCTTCGGCGCGAGGAAGCTCTTCCCTGCACTTATTGCAGCCACAAAATCTCTTACTCTCTAACACAGAAACCTAAGAAGCATCTTTGATCACTGCTTCACTTGCTTGCTAACCCTATTTCTCAACTTCTAAAAATTTTTTCAGCAGATCTTACAAAGCTTGTTATGTGACAGTTTCTGTGCTTAGCTAGAAGGATAAAAAGATGACTATTACAAACTGAATGACAGATACGTCAGCAAAAAATCACAAGATGAATTTATAATATGGTCAGCGGCTGAGTTAATCTCAGGGAGCTCAAGGTGCCTCGGGTGGTTTCCCGGAAATGTTAATTCTGACTCTAATCATGAAGGAAAAGAGGAAGTTGAGCGACAATAGAAGGGAATTTCAGATAGGAACAGAAAGTGCAAGTAATAGGACAGAGATCTAGTTCAGTATGAACAGAAAAAGGTACTAGTAAGAGAACTATAAAAACATATGGGTAGAAAGGCAGGAAGGGATGTGTTGAGCAAAGAATCTGACTTTGATTTTGTACCAGACAGAGAACCATGGCGCAACTTTAAGCAGAAGTGTAATATCATCAGATTTAGCAAAACCACTCTTAACTACAGAGTTGAGGATGATCAGAAGGGAAGCCAAGAGATTTGTTGGCTTACATACATCTAGAAGGGAGTTTGTGAAGGAAGAGGAAAGATGACTTGAAGGTAACTTCCAAAGTTTGGTAACTGATTAGGTGTGTAGAAGAGAAAAGAATTTTCTGAGACCTATAGAAGAGGTGTAGAGAAGATAGCATCAGAAGAGCAGGGGACTGAGAAGCACTAAAGGATTGGAGAGGAGGAACTGACTAAAAACTTACAGGACATCTGGTACAACACTGGAAAATCACACACCTGTCATGCTCCTCCTATTCTGTCAGATTGTGGTTATCCTTCCGGACCCTTAAAGCAGTCTAAGTGCTAGTCGCTGCAGCCCACAAGTCAAATCATGCTCTCTTAAAAAGGAGTAAACATCTCTTTTTCTAAGGCTGTTGCTCAGATTCAGGCCTTTACTTCCTCTCATGTATCATTTGGCTCATATTTTGTAATACTTATCACTTTGTAAAGTATCTTATATAATTACTTGTCTTTCAGTGCATATGTGTTCATGCATATGTTGGCTCAAAAAACAATCACAAAAATGCTATCCTTTTCTTCATAGGTATGGACCAGAGGTTTGAAAGTTTAAGATCAAGTTACTAGCAGTGTGGACTTCATTTTGTGAGCTTCTCTCTTGGTGTGAAGGGAGCTGCCATTTTTCTGTGTGCTCAGCAGATGTGTGGGAGTGGGGAATGCATTCGTTATGTCATAAGAATCATGACCTTATCTACCTGCTAAAATCCTAGTTCCAAATATTAGGGGTTAGGACTGCAATGTAACAATTTGGAGGGTAAGGTGGAAAACACAATTCAATCCATAGCAGCAATATGTATGTGTTAAAAGAATGCTAAAATTATAGCAATATTTAAAATATATTCTGTATTATAAATTCCAGTTGATTCACATAGAACGCATTTTAAAAACTTTTGCTGAACTTTTGCATCCATGTAATGTACAGTTATAATTAATGCACAAGTACAATTCCATGACTGCTGCTTGATATTTTTATTAAGCAATAAGATGACAATGGAACAATTAAAAGACATATATCAGAACTCCATTCATTGAAATTCACTCAAAAATGAATTAAAAATTTCATAGTTTTCTTTGCTAAGTTAAACACTAGTTTTTGTACACTGGAAGAATATTTACTCAAAATTTTTGGGGTGCTACTCACAATGTAACACCTATAGATGTGTAGCACATTTTAAAATTTAATTATTAATATTTTCTCCATCATTTTTGTTGTATAGATAACCAATAAAACAACAGTTAACCCTCAAGCCCTGTGTTGTAGTGTTTGATAATATTTCCACAGTGTAAGTATTCCCACTGGGACCTGTTTCAAACTGCAAACATAAAGTCATTGAATGTAGAGCTAGGAAAGGATGTGCATAGCACACCACTACATAACCACAATTTCCATCATACAGATATAATAGTTACAGATAATTCAAGAGCATGGATGATAGTAAGATGTCATAGTAATTAGGAAGTGATGAGTTTTAAATAGTTATTATTTTTGTTTTAATATAACAAAGATGTATACAATTTAAATTTTTAGTAATGGTTATGCATAACAAGTTCACAAAAATTCTAAAAATAATTATCTCTTGTAAGCCACCACAAGCTGATTTCACTGTTCTGTTCTGTTTATTCATGGTATCCTTTCAGTATCTTCCTCCCACTTCTTTTAAGTAGTGAACTTTTCCTTAAACTGTAATGCACTCATTGGCTACTGCTCAGTTACATTATCTCTAATATTTCTTTCCTGCCTGTCAGGGAGCACAGATTACAAATTGAGTCTAGAGTATGTCTGAGACCATCCTTGTCTTGCCCTTTGAGCCAGATTGGAACAAGGAAACTCCCTACTTTCTTCTGGTCACAGCTGAAGGCATATGACTAGTGACGCTATGGTGCTCACAAGGTAAAATAAGACCTGCTGAGGACGATAAGGATCCTTAAAGAAATGTAGTAGCAATAGTACAAAGTTTTACCCGGTGAAACCACAGTTTCCATGTTGTTCCTTGTCTCATTCTTGCAAAAATACTTTGTTTTTCCTACTAGCCTACAGCAATTGCCACTCCTGTTCCCAGAATCAGTCACTCCTCCTACCTGTGCACTGGCTAGCTGGAGAGTCTTTGTCTTTGCCCATCCTGAGGCATGACTCTCCCCGTCTCTTATTTTATCCTTTTGCCAGCACCCATCATATAGGCAGTTGGGGGATCTTGGCCAGCTCCCCAGTAACCGTCAGAAAAAAAAAGTCCCTCGTTGAAACCTCTGAATATATTCCTATTCTTTTAGGGTGCTTATTTAATTCTCTTTTGTACTTTATGGTTTTGTGTTCTCATCAGAATCTTAAATTTTTTAAAGGAAATATGAGAAATTGTTAATGAAGAATAGAAGAGAATGGAGGATTTTTGGATGGCAGCCTAATGTGCTTTATTTATAATTTTAAATTTTTAAGCCAGTCAATTTAAAAATAAATACATTAAAAATTGGTAATAAATGTTCCTACTAATACTAGGAAGAGTAGTGGATGCCGTTGGATGAACTATTGATGTTGATACTTTTCTAGAATATCACTCCAGAGATTTTATTTTTTTTTTGTCTGTTTTTGTTTACTGAGATGGAGTCTCACTAGGTAGTTCCAACTAGCCTTTCACGATGTAACCTAGCCTGGCCTCAAAGTTACAAGATCTTCTTACCGAAGCCTCCCAAGCACTTGGATTACAGATGTGTGCCACTTGGCTCCTTTTGCATTTTTGAGGGCCTCATTGCATTTTTATCTATCCTCTTGCTGCCTGCCTTTTTCAGTGTACGTTGTTGTGTCATCTTTTGTTTATTTTCCTTTCCTTTTTCTTTTTTTTTTTTTTTTTGAGACACAGTCTCACTGTGTAGTTGTTATAGTCAGGGGTTGTACACAGAGAACAATTCAGATCACGACATGAAGTTTATAATATTTTTATAATGGTCACCAGAAGTTAACACAGGAGAATGCAGGAAATCTATCCGCAATAGCAACGACATAGATTATTTAGTCAAGAGTCTAAACCCCACGGCAATGTCCCACATGAGTTCAGATAAAAACCCAGAGCTCAGGACAACGCCTCCACGAGTCCAACTGGAAGTCCAGGGCCCACAAGGACTCACGCCAGTCTCTTTTACAGATCCCTGCCAGGAAGACCCAAGGGTCAGCGGTGGAAGCCAGAAAGTCTATGCCAGCAGGATGAAGGAGCTGTGCTAGTGGGATGAGGGTTCTACGCTGAAGCTGAGAAGTCACACTCACAACAAAGAGTGGGGCTGTCCTGAAAGGCACCACTGCTGTCCTCAGCGACACAGAGGCCCTGAGCTCCTCCGACGACAAGCACAGTCGGGTGTGTGCCAGGAAGCAGCGTGACGAGTTCACCCTGGAGACCAAGCAGCACATGTCTTCCCCTCCGGAGCCAGGAACCAATGCTCGATGTGAAGACCAAAGCTTCTCCAGGAGAACCAACAGCTCAGACAGTAACTCGCAGTAGAACCCACAATGTCTCCTTCACACCTCAATCCCTGTCCACACCTCTCTTCTTCTCCACCTATTTATCCTGGCAATCCCCCTCAGGTGGAGCATCTTCTCTCAATGCATGCTGATGTAATCCAGCTGGCATTAAGTTGACCACTAGTTATCAAACCATAACAGTAGTTCAGGCTGCCCTTGAGCTCACTATGGAGCTCAGAATATAGTTGATCTCAGAGTGATCCTCCTGCCTCAGCGTCTGAGTTCTAGGATCATAGTCATGGGCAACCATGCCCAGCCAACATTGTGTTTTCAAGACATATCCAGGTCTGTACACATAGGTTTTTATATGTTCTAACTATTATGACTAATCAAAATGGATTTATTCATTGTCTTAATGATGGATACTTATTTTTCCATCTATAAATCAATTCTATAATAAACAGTACACATGACAGTTTATCTAAAGTAAATAGGCAGTTAGAAGTGAAATAGGCCAAGGGGCTGGGGGTTTAAGCTCAGCGGCATAAGTGCCTGCTTGGCAAACGCAAGGTCGTGAGTTTAATCCCTGGCACAAAAAAAAAAAAAAAAAAAAAAAAAAAGTGAAATAGGCCATAGTGTATCTTCAGTTCTGCATACTAAAATAACTGTAAATGTACTCTCCCAAGAGGTTGTACTTACAGCATAGCAATAATACTAGTCCCTACCAACATTAGTTTA